TCGGTGAAATGAAAGAACAAAACAAACACTGGATCCACAGAAAATGTTTTAGTGTCATATTAAGGCATTTCAGGTTAATTATGTTAAGCCAGAACATTATATATTTAATCTCCTCCAAGCAATCATGCACAATATTTAGACAGAAAACATCTGTATGAAATGTGCCTGTACCTCTTAAGAGGTAGTGATTATCAAATGACCCATTTCGTTGACAAACTTAACCTAAATAAGGTGTTGCTCAAGATCTGTTTGTACACAGCGGGACAAAAAGAAATACTCCATCTGTTGACGCTATTAGGTGTAATTTTTACCCTCTTGTGCCTAATGATCCGTATGCAAGCTGGGTGAGCGCTTAAGTGTGTGTGTGTGGCCCCCTTCAGGCATTGCATGGGTGCAGATCTACATGTCTTTAACCTCTCTCTGTGTAAATGCTAAAAGATGCCTGGGGGCTTTCTGCAGGAGAAAACGTTGTGCTGGGGGCTTAACAATATGCAGAGAAACACACTGCCTTCCTAGACTTCTGTGGAAGCTCCTATAATGTGGACGTGATCCCTCCTCCTTCTTGTGGTACCCTTTTAGGCTTTCTTTTGCATAGCCAGAATGGATCTGATTGTTGGTATTATTGTGAAAAATCACATGGCAATCTTGTGAGTCAGGCTTCTTCATGCTGAGCCCATCAGAACAAACAATAATTAAAAAAAATACATGCACGCAGTCTGTCTAGACTAAGGCCAAATCTACTCTCTAATCCCCTCTCTGTTACAGTGATTATAAAGGGTATGAGACATTCCACTGAACTGTAAAACATATTTCTATAGTATACACTTCAATTATCACTTATTTGTATTTATTTTATGGTAAACAATGATCTTGGTAAATAATTCTTCAATTACTTCATTTGATAATTTGTGCTTCATTAATAATTAAGTCAATTGCTACTGTTTTCATAAACATAGCTTTAAACATCTAGTGCTTAAATGCTTACAAATATTCAGCATTGTGTCATTGCCATTGCTATTAGGTCTACTTCTTTTCAGCAAAATGCTAAGTTAATGAGTGTTATATCTCAAAATATACCGCCATGTTCAAACATCCATCTACAGTTTCTGCTGTGAGGAGAGGTTAGCGAGAAGATGCACCACTATAAAATATTCATATCTTTCTATCTAGTCAACAGCATTGTTCTGTAATCTTTCAGCATATAGAGCCAAATTGCTGTCTTAAATATATACAAGTATAACAGCAGAAGGGCGATGTAATACATTTAAGGGGCTAATACATTTTAGGGGAAAACAACGTCATAACAAAAAAAAAAACATGCAATGAGGAGCACAGGATGTGGGCTTTGCTTTGATTAAAAGAGCAAGGTGTAGAATAAAGGCCAGTTAAAGTGTTGTGTCCATATGGCCCAGAAGCCCTGAGGCTGTCGGCCTACACTGGGGGCCTCGGCACTCTTCCCTCTCCATGGGACCCCAGCTGGTGAAACAAACCCCATTTACTTTCCTGTGCTGCCTCAGCCACCATTATGGACCTTGGCTGTGGCTCAGCCACTCTCTGCCATAATTAACAGCACCAATGCCACAACAATTAGAGCCCTGCACCACACATACACTATGAATCAAAGAACGAGCTAATAGGAACAAAACAGAGTGAGCCATAAGAAGCTTGAGATGACTGCTGTTCGTTCAAATGGAATAAAAAGTAAAATCGTTGTGCTCCAAGCCCACAATCATTAGCCTGTAATTAGTTTACACAAAGCTCCCAGTTAAATGGCAAAATACGGTAATTAACACATGACAGAAAATCAAAGGCTACTTTGTAAGCATATGAGAAATAAGAGCCAGGGGCTCAGAAGCTGCGTACAGATTGCATCTGTACTAAAAGAATGGTTTAACAATGATTAAGTACATTTTATTTGTTTTGAATAGGTTTGAGATTAAATCTGAATGTATTTTTTGAGGACAAGGTAAATGTTGATATTTTGTGGAACAATTACAATGTCACACAGTATTTGTACTAAAGTGTTCTCTTTACAAATAGCTCAGTTCCATCCAATGAGTGTTACGGACAGACAGAGACAGAGAGCTCAATGTTGTAACGCTAGAGCAGAAGTTTAAAGCATCAACATCAGCTGCAATTAAGGATTAAAGTGTTTCGTGTCATTTGTACTTCATTATATTATCTGAACATTTGCAATACATTGTATTTGCATTTGTAATAAAAATCAAATCAGTTGTGAATCTGTGTGACATTAATCTATAAATACATATAAACATGTACAGAGAAAGAAATGTTTTTAATTGTCACTGCCAGGTAAATTAGGGCATTACTACCACTGGACAGGCTTTTGTTCTTCCCAACACCCTGACACTAGTTGATGTGTGTGTCTCAGAGAATGGATAATGGCTGTGTGTACAAACAGATATTTTATGTATTGATTTAATGTTCTGTGGCGCTGGGGACAATGCTCAAAATACTGTACTACAGGGACCAGCATTGTGACTATTACGTTAAGACATCCTACTCTGGGCTAAATGATGGCATCTCTCTGACCCCACTGTGACCTATGCTTTTGTTCATTCTGTCTCAACAAGGAGAACAATCTCCATTTTAATATCTTGCTGTTACAGTAATGTTATCTGTTAAGTATCTAGTTGTTGCCATGTTAACTTTAAATGGCCGATTCCTCATTGGGATTAGTGTAATAATAATAGCAATAAACTTTATTTGTATTGTACTTTTCTAAAACCAGTTTGGAGGGAGCCATAAAAAGAAGACATAATAGTAAAAAACATCAATTTAGAAAGAAATAATAAGGGAAATAAATAAAAAAATAAAACAAAACCTACAATTCAAGCAAATTCAATAAAAAACATTGCATAAAAGTAAATGTATAAAATGTGCTTTAAGAAGTGGTCCCACAGTTTATGACAGGGAGGGAATCATGTAAAACTCTAAGTCATATCTTTACCTGAATCCATTTTGTGTTCCATAGCTCAGGACCATAACGATGGTATTCCTGCAGGGCCCAGTTATAGCAGCTAAGATGGCATATATCACAGTATGCTGTACCTCGGCCACCATGCTCAGAGTCCATCTTGAAGAGCCAGCGCTGCACATCAATGTTTTGAGTCATAAGCTCAGCCAGAATTTCATGAAGCTAAACCAAGACAGAGACACGTGAATTGCAAACTAAAATAATATAATAAATTACAAGTAAAAGTTAATGTGAAAATGTGTTCTGTGTTCTCGGGCACTGATAAAGGACCTCATGCTATAATGGAGTCTGTGTTTTTTATCTCTGACCTGGTTTAGCGAGTAGATGTCTCCTTGACCAGGGGGTACATCAACCTCTGCCCCGGAGAAGATCCTCTTCCCTCCAGATTTGGTCCCATAGATCTGAGCAATAGCTGGTTCTGGAGCCAGGATTGGCACTCCGAGCTCATCCGCAACTGCCAGATCATCCACATGGGCCACTCCACCCACAATGTAGGTCTGCTTCCCTTGGATCAGGTTCTTGATGCGCTTCAGGGTGCGTGGACTGTACTTTAGCAGCGTGGACAGGCACATGTTACGAGTCTTAAAGAGAGGAGGGGAAAAAGATTACTGCTGGTGCTAAGAGTTCTAAGTGTGTCTTCCAAGGGTTGTTTCTTGACCTGATTTATCACTGTGTACACACAACAGATCTATTATTGTAATAGCCAGCAGGGTTTTGACCTTTCCTGTATTCCAGCAGGTTGAATTGATAAAAGCTGCCTGTGGGAGGCCTCCCCTATCCTTCACATCTTTAATGTGTGCTAGCTATGAGCTCCTTGGGAATATAACTAATTACTTCACATCTGTATTTATTTGATCCACATGGAATTATCCCTTCTGTCACTGGCAGAATGCGCTGCCAGCCACGGGTAGCAGTGATTCATCTCAGCAACACGTCTGGCACAGTTTAACAACAAAACAGCAGGAAAATCAATAGAAAGAAATGAAGAAGACCATGTCATGTTGCACATTCAATCTAGTGCAAAGGGATATAAAAAGATGAATAGAATTGCTGGATGTAAAAAGACAAGACAACTTGATTTTATTGTATTGAGGTAATCAAAACAATTCAAATATTTTGAAAAGCAGCAGTTAAATGGAATGAACAGTTAATTAAACCAACAAATATAGAATTTAATTATTTACTGAACCCCAGCTCGAGAGCATTAAATGTATTTTAATTATAACTTAATATAGCTCTGGTGTGTTTACTGAGAAATAACACAGATGTTTAATTTCAAAAGTAGTAAAAGGAAATTAAAAATATTAAACAGACGGCTTGTAGCTCTGACACTCACAAGACAACTGTAGAATAGCAATCTCCTCTAGTACCCTCTAGAGGAGAATTCACAAACTACAGATGCTGGGATGCTTGGAGCTCTGCAGAACAATACAATCGATGTCTCTACAGCTAATTCCAAGATCCTGCTGAAAACAATCATTCTTTAAAGTAAATGTGTGCACAAAATGGGAATGTTATTGACCTTACCGGGAAAAAATCTACAGCCTCAGGTGTGAGGATGATAAAGCGTCTCATGCAGGATGAGGCCTGAGTGGCCCCGGCATCAGCCCCCTCTGTTGCTCCATCACACTTCAGGAGGCTGGTGTAATAGTGCACGATGTCGTCTCCAAGATGCCGCGGACATACATAGATCACCTCCACATTTTTATCTAAAAAAACACAAAGAGTACTTCACAAATCACAGTTTACAATAAAGCATAAAGAGAAAGTCAATGTGTGTATATGGTGGTGAGGCTGCTGAAAAGCTCCTACCTCTAATATCACACAGTCTGCTAATTTGTATGTTCTGCAGGACAGCATATCCACGCAAGTTGAGTCGCTGGCACTGAGAGTATCCTGTCAGAAAAAGGTCACAAAAATGTGCACAAGACTTTCAAAGACAGATTCACACCATCTCAAATTCGCTTTATTCAAAATCTGCAGCGCTGTACAACTACCCTCAGATGTGTGCACTATTAGACTTGGGGGTGGAGTAGTTAAGTCTAATCACACAGTAGTGCAATCTGATAATTAATTTAGCTTAATAACTAGCAGGTGCAGTGTCTGTCGTGTGCTGGGAGTCCTGTTGCACCATGTCCAGCCACCACTGAGCTAGATCCAGTGGTACCTCCAGGATTTTACTCAATGTCTGTCTGGATTTCTGCCTGAGAGAGAATCCTCAGCTGAATCAAGGTAATTAAATGATTGGATTCATGCTAATTAACAACAATGGGGTTCAACTTTCTAATTATCCTTGCTCACACAGCACTCTCTGTAGCCACCCCAAGTGCAAATAAAGCATTCCATCTGCTAGTAATTAGGCTCAATAATTTTAGACAATCGCTCAATGATTTACAATGCACATGCCTGATTACAGTCTAAACGTTTGTGCCATGGTGAAATTAGAACAAGAACGGATCATAGCTTGCACTCTTCATCTAGTGCAAAAACACAGCCGCTTCTTCCTCTTTTGTGTGTGGGTTTTTTTTTGTCACAGCAATAAAATAAGACCTTTGTGCCTCTCAAAATATTCAACATAAATGGCTTTTCATTTGCTTAATCTGCAAATTAAATGGCGATTGAGACTAAATTGTTCAGTTCCCTGGCATGGGGACTGTCATCATCCTGTGAGTGGTTTCCTGCAGAGAGTCATTTGAACGAGACAGAGTGCCTCCACTGGGGCCAGAGACTGGGGCAGCAGAGTGGTGAGACAGAGGATGACTACAGCTAGATCAGATGTTTGTGTGTCTGTGTGTGTGCAGCCGGCAGAGAAAGCTACCTAATGAAGGGATGTGGATAATGGTCCTCTTGGAGGACTGGATGTGTTTCCAGTTGGCTGCCAGATGCTGGGGATGGAGAAAAGGAGTGATCAGAGAGGGGACTGCTTGAGTGTGTACACACACACAAACACACAAATCATCACATCACTGCATAGTTATAACACATCAAGCCTATCTCTCTCTGGGCAACAGAAGCAAACCAAGCATAAAATACCACCTTAATTAAATTAAGCGTTTACTTTAGAAACATCTTCTCACAATTAATTCAATCAGCAAGGTACATGATGCTACTGCCAGGGGAAGATTAGCAGGCTTAATTAACAGGGTATGAATGTTTAAAGAGCGAGAACATACATTTAGTGCATGTATACCCACACACAGTGATGTTAAAACTAAATGAACTTGTAGGCACTAATTAATACTGTGTCAGAGCTCAAAAAGATGTTCAGCCCAGATGACAGCCTAGAAATGACATCTACACTGAGTGGGGAAAAAATTTACAGAGCATTATGCATCTATAGAAATTGTGCTGTTATACTGCTCTCTTGAAGAGCTAAACAGAAGCATATTTTTTATTTCTTGAGCTTAAAATTGTAAAGTTCTGTTATGGCAGAAAGAAGGAAAAAAAGTATTTGAAGGCATTGATCATAAAAGTTTTGACAACCTAAAAAAAAAAAGCAATGATGTAGTAAAATGGTCTTCACAGCTTAACAAGATACAAACCGCCATAACATCTAAAAGCTAGAATTTAATTATCTAGTCAGTTTTAAAGTAAGATTTAATTGCATTCAATGAATATCCCATTCTACAAACATTACATTATGCCACTGTATTTACAATCATTTCAGCGGCAAAACAAAAATATTCTCTTTACAATCTGTTTTAATTTCAAAACCTAATATCAACACAACATTAAATTTAAATATTGAAACAATTTATAATATTTATAGCATCATTATATCTTTAGCTACTGTTACATGTACTATAATTGACCATCAGAATGGATTGGGTACCTTTTTTATCCTAATAACCACTGTTTCTCCATTTGTCTTCTTTTGCTCTAAATGTGGCTGCAGTTTTATTTTGTTCATCCGTCTCGCTCTCTCTTTCTGCTGTTTCCCTCTTTTCATCTAACACCTATCTTTTTTTTGTTGTTCTACTCTGTTCATCTGTCTCACTGCTCCCCTCTGCTGTTCTGTGTTTCTGTTTATCTCCTACCAGAAGTACCAAAGCAGCATGTTTTAGTGCATTCTTATTGACACGGCATTGCCCCATTTCTGTCCTTACTTTTACAATCATTTACTCAAAGTAGTAGAGATTTTTAAACAGATCTTTGAAAAGATGTTGGCTCAAACACAGAATTTGATTGGTCCTTCATAAAACTGTGAAACACAAACACAAAGTGGCATTTAAAGGTTAATCAGATACTTGAACGTCTTATTTAATCAATATAGAAGTCATAAATACATTTTGGAAAAAAGAGAAACAAAGGCAAGCTTTGAAAAGGTGAAAGAGTAATATTAAGTAAGAGATATGGAAAAAGACAGAGAAAGCAAATTTTTATGTAAGCAACATCACCTGGGCTCTGCTACGGAAATTCTCCAGTTGTCTGAAACGCCGGGCCTGAAGGGCCTTCCTGACACGAGAGATCTGAGTGTGCATCAACCATGAGATGGCAATGGTCCCTGCCGCCCACTTGCGCCGGCAGTGGTGCAGGTAGGCTGTCCGGGCTAAGTAGCGCCTCCAGCAGGTCTGGATCTGGATGACAGCCGCCTCAGTGCCTCCTTCTCCCTTGTAGCGCTGACCTGGGCGTAAGACCAGATCCAATACCTCCTCCCAGTTTTCAAGCACTGAGAGGAGGCTTATCACTGGAGGAGCCTTTCTCCAACCATTACTCCAACTACAGCCAAACTCCACTAGCCGTTCCCCACTCACGTTGGCCAGAGGCACAGCAAACTCCCTGAGCAGCTTTTCAAGGGCCTCCAGAGCATCTACCACACTGCTCCAGCACAAGCTAAAGCTCTGCTTGAAGTGACAGAAATCTGTTGCCACTGAGTTGACCTGGCCCTTTATGATGGTAAAGGGATATTTGCTGATGTTTACAGGTATATTCTACAGAACACAGGAAAACAAGTGAGAGTCAGTCAACCTTTAAAGACTTTAATAATACAGTTAAAGGAATTGAAATATTGTCTTTGATCACTTTCTTATTCTTGATGTAATTGAACATCTATATAGCAATTACAGTATTCTCACCTGTAGGCTTTTAGGGATAAGACGGTTGGTGCCTTGGATCATACCCATGTGATCCGTGCTCTTGGGAGAGGGAGGCGGTGTCTTGGTGGTCCAGAGGGGAGTGGATTCCCTGCCAAATGTTTTGGAGGCAGATCTAGGTTCTGTTTTCCATTTCAACTGCTTGTGACACGTGGACTTCAGACCTAAAGTCACAAACAGACAGGCTCAACTGCACTCTTTCAGTGATTAATCAGAGGCAACCTCTCATCACTGTCAAATCAAGTGATAGCTGTCCATAGTCATAACATAGTCACTAAAGGGTTTAAACCAGAACACCACAGAAACAATGAAATAAAGGGAGGGCAAAACAGAAGACAAAATGCAAATTGCTAGTGTTGTTGTTGACCACATGCACCAGTCAACACTATCATAATCATTGTATCATTGTTTCCATTAGAGACATATTAACCACATTTATAATAAAATTTATTTATCTCCAAAGATATAGAATCTTAGATCTACAGTCTTTGGAGAAGCACTGACCTATAGAAGAATATGAATCGTCTCTGGGGTGAAGAGAAGCAGCCTTGTGCTGGATCGACATATGAAGCAAACGTGTATCTGGCACTGATGAAAATAAAGAATTTGTAAAACATTGTGCTAGCCCTTATTCATAAAAATGTCAGCTTAAGATAAAAAGTATATATATATACTGTATTTATATGTATGATCAAAGTACCACAAACATCAAACACCAACTGACACACAATCTATGAGCATTTGTCTGCAGTATAACAGCGGTGAGGTGTTGGTGATGAAATGGCAAAATGTCTGTTTACCTCTCTGTAAGTCTTCTTCAGGCATTGCCAGGTTATGCTGTCCCTTTGATTCAGTGGTCTGAAGACTCACCACAGGGCCAGTGATTATTCTGTTATGTTTTGCCTAAACATAACGTGTATAAGATCAGAGGTTGTACATCTGATATTAATAAAATCAAAGCAGTCCTACCAGTAAATAATAAATAAGTCTCTTATTGGTCCAGTCCTAAAAGGTTGTTGCCCACAGTAAAAGAAGCCCGACTCTTGCTTCATCAAACTAAAAGTAGTAAAGTACAAGTTGAGAGCGTGAACATGTTTGAAGTGATCGTTTTTCTTTAGCAGATTTCTTTCTTTTCTAGAGATTTTTGTAAGTATAGCAGGTAACCAACCATCAATCAGACTCATGCCAGCTTGGTGATGTAAGAAAAAAAAAAATTCTAGCAGAGTGTGTTTAAAGCGGTTTAAAGCAGAGGCCCGGGATAGCCTACATGATTGCAAACAATTGATTAATTAAGAATTTAGGTGAGCCATACAACTGGCACTGGTAAAGTTGTAAACTGTCCTGTAACCCATTTCCTACAGCAATTAATCACACAGATAAAGATGAATCTTAAAATACTGTAACTCAAAGCAATTCTGTTCTGCTAAACATATATACATTTTTAATATATGAGACTGCATCGTAATGAAATTAAAAGTAGATTTAATGACCTAGTTTAATATAAACAGATTCTAATGTCTCATTACTCAGAAAACACAAAGTTTCTGCTGCTGATTCTCCAGACTTGGCACCTCATGTCCTCTCCTTCGTTCTCCTCAGACCACTGAGCTCTCTGACAGACCACAGGTAGTAGCCAGGTGCTGGGAGAATGTCCCCTCAAAGGCACACATCTGTTTCAGATGGGGTTGGGAAAAGGTGGCACCTTTAGTAAAATTGCTAAAATGCATAAGCACATTCCCTGGCATGGGTATAGAGTGGAGAAGAGCTGGCCTGAGTTGCAAGAGGAGGCAGCAGGCAGAGAGCCAGTGGTTAGCAGTTGGGGAAGCTACGGCTGTCTTATTGGCATGCTGGAACAGGTACCCACTTCTGTCCTGAGACAGCTGTAAACCAGTAGCCCATAGCACAGCAATCAGGCGCCCGTTTCTTTAGAAGAATGCTGATGTGCTGCAATCTGCTGCTTTCCGCTTTCTGCAGCCAGCACTTCCATCTCTCCTATATCAGAGTGACAGCCTTGGCCGCTATTGCTCATGTCAGGTATAGATTCCCAAAAACGTATTGGAAAAGAAAGTGTGTAAAACATATCTAAAACTAATGCCGACCTTTGCAAAGATTAATTTGTTTGCTGTGACAAGTGCTGGCTGTCATCACTAAGCCAAGTGACCTTTACGCCACTGTCTCTCTCAAGTATGAGACTTGAAGCATCTATTAATGCACACCTGTACCATCACTCTTCACCCCAGCATAAAGTGTCTATTCTGGCGGATTAAGGGAGTAAGTATCAGGGAAAGGAAAAATTACATCCAATTCATCTCCATTGGTTGTAGCAGAAACTCTTGTAATGCTTCCTAATCAAATCTTTCCTAAGGCATGTGCTGTATGTTACAATTAATATCAACAATGAGCCAGGACACAGGAATCAATTTCTTACTGCACGACCTAAATAACTAGAGGACATGATTTTGATTATAGTTTATCATTATAGTTTTCCAGCAGTAAGACTAAAGTGTGATGAGAAAATCTGCTCTATAAGAAAGCCAAAATACCAGATGTAGACTGATTTCCACAACAAATACAATTCTCAAAAAGAATTGTCCTGGTTGTTAAGATTTTATTTTTATTTATCCTTTTTTTAACCAGAAATGTCCAACTGAGATAAAGTATCTTGTCTGCCAGAGAGACCAGGTCAGGATAGGCAGCAAATAAATGTAATAAAAAGATTTCATACAGTATAGACGGGAACACATAACGTCACAAAAAACATACCAAAACACAACAAACGGATACAAAACAATGTAGATCCCCAAGATAGATATTTCTTTACTGTTAGAGGTTTAGAGTTACAAATGGCACACACTGAGTTCTCCCAGTCAAATAGTTTGAAAACCAACAAGGTCACTAAAACCTACACATTTAAAGACCACTGAATCAAACACTTTGGATAGATCAAAAAATTTAAAGGGATCATTATGGTTCTCATTTATTACAAAGATACAATTGGATTAACTGTCATCCACTCCATGATTCTCATGTAGACTACTCAAATGCAGTACATAATTATAGGAGAAGCAATCAACTACCCTCTCAGTTCCGTAAAAAGCCTCAAAGGCTATAGTTATAGTTATAGTAATTACTTTGACCCACCAGGAGTATCACAGACTGGCATGAAAGTCACATAAGTATACTTTAAAAAAAATTTGTAGCATCAATTTAATGGAAAACATGCATGGTTTAAAAATTAATACTCCTAATCTAAAGCTAAAGTTGAATTAATCTACATTTATAGACAGATTACTTACTACATTTGTGCTCCTCTTGTAAATATCAGGGAGTGATATCCCAAATTTCTGGTGCATTACAGCTCTGTTGTTTGGGTGAGTGGGATTACACAGCACACGCATGGTTAACGCTGACTTGTGCTAAATTAGAGAGATAGAGGAAAGGTTTAAAAACTTTAATTATAATAAGATGCACTATAGAAACAGTAATTGCAATATTAAATATTTAAATGGTTGCATATTTATGCTAGCCTATTTCTGTTTGTCTCAATTGCTTCTCTATCATGCCTTGTCAAAATTTACTTGTCTTGCCTGTTTTAATGTGTAATACAATGGAATAGTTAACTTAACTTACCTGCCTAAAGAATATATTACTAAGTAAAAATAATAATAATGGGTAATAATAATCTACCTTTTCCCCAGGTGAGAGCCATGGAAGGTCTTCCCTTTGTGGACGCACATCTGGGATACTCTCCAGAGAGGGTTTCCTGTGTAATGCTCACAATACCCATCACCAGAATTGATGCAATTCGAGGTCTAACAGTGAGATGTTGAAGGAGTATGTCCCCACTGTAGACAATTATTCACTAACAACACATGTAAGCTCTTCCTTACTTACCATTTTGGGATCTGTGCTGTCTTTTTGTCTAGTGCTTCAATGCTTGGAAGAACCAGTAGCTGCTTAGTCACAGTTTTCAGATAATCCTCTGCACATTTCTATTAACAATTAAAGATCATAGAAGTTGTCTGTTTGTAATTCAGCTAAATTTGTCTGATGTGTATTTAATATTATTGTTATTAGTGCTTGTTCTGAAATATCCTCACCCTGATGCTACTCTCTGTCTTGCGAATGACAGTGTCCAAGGCCTTAAAATCCAGTGTTTCCCCCCCCTCATTGATAGTGATTTTCTCAATACTGCTTTTGAGTTGTCTCAAATCATCTTGAACCTGTAATATACAGTTCTGTTATGTACATACTGTGGAAAACTGACCTAAACAGCCAACAACCTATCCCCAAGCCAAAGAGAAATGTTAACAGTTTATCAATCAAACAAGCTTGTTATTGTCTGCTGCATTGTGGTCACAATTCAGATAACGTTAACTTCAGAAACGCCAGACAGATTACATAACTAGTTAGCGTTAACTAGCAAGCAAAGTGAGTTAGCTATTTTGTTATTAGCTAGCGTTGAGTTAAGGTAACGTTAGACATTATTACCTCATGTAAAAGTGCTCCCAACTTATCCTCGCTTTTAAGAGTCTCAGACATGTTTTAGTATTTTTAGTACGTTATATTTAATATGACTCAAACATTTGTAAGGGTATAATAATGAAGACATAAACAGCTAAAGTTAACCAAACCAGGAATCATGTAACCACGACAACGAGAAACCAACTGATACACTTTCACTTATTCCCCGAGTACGAACTGTCAGACACAATCCCACCTTCCTAACATCTGCCATATTACGAACAACCGGCGAACTTTCGTTACAATTGGCAGATACCATTTCAAACCACGGTATATATATTAATACTGGTTTAACCATTAACGTAATCATTTATTATGAAGGTTTTGGTGAAACTGAGCTACTGGGGGAGGTGCTTTGCCTGAACAGGCGAATTCAGGGCACAGTACAGTAAATAACTAGCGCATTTAGCTGTCATTAAACATCTCGTTTTTCTGTATATATTATCCCATATTTTACCGTTCAATCCCGGTGTCATCCAGTTTAAATATTTTTTAAATAAATCTCCCGTACTTTTAACCTTTCTAATTTAAAAAACCCGCTGGTCATATTTTAAATATTGCACCCCTCCAGTAAAACAGGTCGCAGAATGTAGAACATTAGATGCACACTCTACAGAGTACTTTACTCGCATATTGCCCTTAAAAATAGATACGTACAAACCGAAAACAATTAATTACGATATGCGAGTTAAGACTGCAACCTACAGTAATTCTTCTGCATTAATGACTATACTATACTTTTCGGCATTTTAGTATTCAACATTAATAAATTAGAGACCAATGTAGACTGTGCTTCTTGCACAAGGATTTAATGAATAAAAGCAACCCACAAAAATGAAACTGCTGTAACTGGAATTGATTTTAAAACCCCCAATTTCCCTTATTTTCAAATCCCAATGTTGACAGGTAACGTTAACTTAAATTATGCTGTAACGCAAAGTCGCCAAAGACACGAATTACATTCAAGTACCTAATTTAGCTAGTTATATTATGACAATAAATTATCTAATCGCAACGCGCATAAATTCAGCAAAACGCCTCATTAAAAGAAGCTGTGAGCCGTGTCCTGTTAACGTATCGTTAATGTTAAGATTGCACCGGAAGAGACCGTCGCGGCGGCTCAGTCAGAGTTGAAAGGCTACCAAAGTTGGTTAACGTTACGATAAGCTAGCAGCTAGAAAAGCTGGTCTCAAATATTAGCATAATGTCAACTACAGAAGAAGACACAGATCTTACTATTCCATGTGTCCTCATCACTAGCGCTGACAGTGGTTTTAAAGAAGAAGAGCTAATAAAACGTAAGTTTAGCTAAGCTTAACGTACATGATTTGGCAACCAGGCTAACTAACGTTAAGCTAACTTAGCACAACAGATACCATTTGGGAGCGCTTACATGTTGCTAAAACAGGTCAATTACCTGCTTGTCCGAGGTTGTCAAGCTGGCATTATTTTAGTAATTTATTTTTGTGTGTCTGATATAAAAGGACATCATATTTCTACAGCTAGCCGCGGTCAAATTGCAGCAAGCTGTGCAGCTGAGCCTAATGTAATGTTTCTATTTGCATGTGTTATTTATAACAAACAACAACAAATATCTTTTTTTGCGTCAGAAATCCTCAGTTCGAAGACTTTGCCCGAACCGACAAAGACAGAAGAAACCGTAGCCTGGTATCCATGGACCATCAACAACAAATATTATACAGCAGATGTCAGGCTATGTGTTGTACCAAGCACTTTTCAAATGTCATCGGAGATCGCCCAGTCCATGCAGGCTTTCATCGCTTATTTTGACAGTACAGTGGTACGTGACTTAAGAATGAGGTATAGTTTGAAAATCTCAACAGTGTATCCTGTAGTACATGTACAACGTCCATCATGTGTGCATGGTGTTTGCAGAAGGATGGTCTGGAAAAGCTACATCCTTGGATATCAGTGGTGGAAGATCTTGCTCCAGAGGTGCTCATTCTGGTGTGTGACAGAGTCAGTGAAAATGGTTAGTTCTCCCGCTGTGTGTGGTTAGCAGAAAGCAATGGAATACAGTTTTGCCGGGCACAGTATAGCATCTGAAATGTAATTTGTATTCCAGGGGTCACCAGACATGAAGCACAGCAGTGGTGTTTGGCTCATGCCTTTGAGCTGGTGGAGCTCAATCCACAGGAGTTGCCAGATGAGGATGGTGAGTTTTATAGACAGAAAAAAATTACTGTGACAGTGCGCACAATTATATTTTAATTTGTCATGTTGTGCTAATGTTTGTATTCTCATTCACACGGTCTTTGCTGTCTTTATCAGATGACTTTCCAGAATCCACAGGTGTAAAGAGAATTGTCCAGGCTCTCAATGCCAATGTGTGGTCCAGTGTGGAGATGAAGGATGGTGCGATATTACCAATACAATTACCTATTGCACTTTTCCCTGACTATTTGATTTATCTCTGTGTATGTATGCTGTGTGACAGTTGATGTCTTTGTCTGATAGGGCACAATCAAGGCTTTGGTCTGATGAGTAGTTTGGTGGCCTCTAGACACAACAACCCACGAAACTGTCCACAAGATCCACCAGTCAGTGGCAATTTTGTTGTAACCATTCATTTACTTTGATTTGTAATTTTATTCACATTTGTAATTGTCTTTCAATGTGTTTTATTAATTCCTCATAAATCTCCCTTAAATAATAATCCATTTTCATTTAAATGTGATTTAAAATATGTCAGTTTTTGAGGAGGCATACTCACCCATGCTCCTTCTCTGTGGCAGTCTTCCAGCTTGCCAGTAGAGGGCCCACGTGTTAGTGAGGAAGCTAGCCATACAGAAAGTAGTGGAAACACAAACACACAGGGAGACGCAGTAGTTGGTAAGTGAATGCCTCTTGATGAGATCTGTTTTTGCAAACGTCTAACGTGATTTTTTCCCCAATATCTGATGTTGATCCTGCTGTTATATTTTTTTCAGTATGTTCATCCAAAACAAACACACTATTACTGATTGGAGTTGATATGGCATTACATGTTAGGTTATTAATAATCACTTTTCTTCTATTCACTTTATTCTCTTAGATGCAATGACTGATTTGGACATTCAGGAACTTGCTAATCTCACAGCTGGAGATGCAGATGTGGATAATTTTGAACGCCTCTTTACTAAACTAAAAGAGATGAAAGGTAATTGGGAAGTGAAAAACAAATGCACAACTTGTCAGCAAAATGCAGAGGGGGACAAACAAAGCCTTTTTTTTGTGGCTTTTTAAAAAAAAAAGAAAAACTTCAACGATTTTTGGTCTGTTTGTGCCTTGCTCTCATTGTTGGTGTGAAGGTCAAATATATGTACAACTGATAATTTGGTTTTCTGTGATTTTCATCTGCAGACAAAGCTTCGTCACTACCTCATGAGCAGAGAAAGGCTCATGCAGAAAAGGTAAGCAACTGCACGAACCTGGTTACAAGATAACATGACTGCGACCTGTTTATAATCTGTGTATTCCTGTTACATAAAAGATTTATCATTTACCATGGCCATGTTTTGAACAGTGGATCACATACTGGTAATAGTATCTTCACAACTATATACCATTCCTAAACTAGTCAGTCCATGCCTAAAGAAATGATATGACATTTTAGTTTTTGTCCAAATTTAATTGTTGCCGTGGTAGCATGTTTCATTAGCTGATTCAGTTGGAATTCTCAGTTGGCCCAATAAATTGTGTAGCTAAACGTGTTTATGTAAAATCTATTACCGTGTATTTACACTAAATCTACTTTGCAGGTAGCAAAAGCATTTTGGATGGCCATCGGTGGCGATGAAGATGAGATAGACGGGTTATCATCGGGTGAGGAAAGCTAAAAGTAGCTACCTGTGACTTAGTCTTTTTTCTCCTGATCCTCCTCCTTTCCTGGGGCTCCCACAAGATCCAGTGCCCTTTGACTTGCATGTGGCACCTGGAAAGCGGAGATGCTTACAGATTGTACTGTAGGCATAGTCATGTTTAGAAACTTTTGATTCTTAAAATGAAACGATTGCAATACTGGTGTATAGTGAGAAGCAGTTGTATGTCTTGATTAGGGAGAGAAGAGAGGCAACAGATGGCCCTGACCCTCAGTTTTCTCCCCTGGGCCCCTCTCTTTGCTCTAAGCCCTGAGTGAACCTCAAGACATAATGGTGTTGCAGGTGGAAAAACTAAATTAAATTATGTGGGTTTTGGTTTATGTCTGTCCTTTTAGTTACAGTTGTCATAATGTGCCTTATCCTTGTAAGACATTTAATGCACATTCTGTTGAATCAACATAAAGACTTGTCATTTTACTTTTTCTGATCTATAGTGTGAGTTCTCATTTTTCTAGTCACATTAACAAGCCATGATTGTTTTTGAAAAAGCATTGACAGAATATTTTTACTCTCAGTTGCAATTTATTAAATTTTCACAGATAACAAAACAGTGGTCATTTGAGAACATATTAAGCGACATGAAAAAACATGTACATAAGACTTAAACAGAAAACT